GCAGTGAAAGAGGAAGTAGAGTGCATTGGGGAGGGGGTGTGGCCTGGGCTGAGGTCTAAGTCTGGCTTTGTCTGGAGGTTTGGGGCGAGAGACTGAGGTTATTAGCTAACTTCACCGATACCTTCTTAGCAGGAAGGAACTGTCCTCAGGCCCTCATTCCCTCCAGGCTACCTTAAGGACCTAGGGATGGTTGGTCCTAGGATGTTCTGGGCAGACATTCAAGGACAGGAGGGGGTTGGGCGGGAGGCAGAGCTTGAGCTCCCTGACACAGGTTACCTTGGAGACAGCCAAGGAGTCCAAAGACCCAGCCACGCAGGGCTGCGTGCATCTGCCGTCCATCCACGACCGGGTCGTCGGCCCAGAGGCTCAGCCAGTAGCCCTGGCAGAAGGATGCCACTTGCTGGCAGAGGAAGAGGAACAGGGTGTAGGTGCAGAGGGGTGTGCCCACTGCCTGCAGGTAGCTCAGGTATGTGGCAGCCTTCACCTGTAAGACATGTCGAGGAAGGGTGGCAGAGAAGGGGGTCAGAGGAGAATGAGTTGGGTCTAGGTTAGGTCAAATTCCCAAAGGCATCATTAGCAGAGCCTCACTGGGCACATCTTCTCCCCTACAGATCCCTGCCTCAGGATCCTTCTGCTAGAGACCCATGGAGGTCATAGGAAGCTGCAGCTACCAGTTGATCTGGGTGAGCAGGTGAAGAAAGAACAGGTGAGGGGACCCACACATGGGTTAAGGACAAAGGCAAGGCGGTATGGAAGAAGAGAAATGGTACTATGTAGTTCAGATTTGGGCTTCCCTAGACTGGAGTGTTGGTCTGGAAGGTCAACTCTATACACCCTGGCTCCTTCATCTTTAAAATGAGGCTGTTACTGCCAGGAGGTGGTGGTGTACGCCTTTAATCCCAGCACTCAGGAGGCAGAGGCAGGTGGATCTCTGTGAGTTCGAGGCCAGCCTGGTCTACAGAGTGAGTTCGGGGCAGCCAGAGCTGCACAGAGAAACCCTATCTCAAAAAATCAAAAAAACAGAAAGAGAGAGAGAGAGAATAAAAGAGGCTATTGCCATCTAGCTTTCCGGGGAAGTGGGGGGTGAGTGAAGTGGGAGATTGTAAGGATTAAGAAACAGGAAGGTTAGAAGCCCATTCGGCCCATAGTAGGTGCTGAGAAAAGTGTGTGCCTTCCCCAGGTTGAAGCAGGAGCTCTGGTGGTTACCCGGCCAGGCTGCACGCTGTCCTCGCCTGCTGTCAATCCTGTTCCCTTAGGGTCACCCAGAGAAGGCTCCGTCTGTGCCTCTGAAGTGGTGCTGTCCTTCACAGGGGCTGACTCGATGGGCCTGCGCCTGCCATTTAGAGGAAATCAAAACACGTTATTGTATCTTCCTGTGGGGGACCATGAGCTTCTTCAGGTGGCAGCCTGTGAGCTCTGTAGTATTCTTCCTAGCTCTTCATTCATTCACTCAGGAAGGAGGAAGGGAGGTATGCAGTCATGGAGGTGTGGGTGGATAGATACATGGATGGATACATGGGTGGATACATGGATGGATACATGGG